ACACACACACACACACACACACACGGTGGTTTGACTTGTAGCAGCAGTTTTTCGTGGCTAATTAAAATGCAGCCAGATTGACATGACTCCACATTTAGTTTGGAAATGACCTGCTGTTGTGGACGATATATGACTCCACTTGTTTTCTGCCAAAAACAATGGCTCAAGTGTTACAGAGGAGCTTCACACATCCAGGCTGTGGTCGTCGGCCATTGTCTTAGTTTCAGCTCTTGTGTCACCAGGAATGTCAGGAATACCAGAACGAGCAGAGGTGTCAGGGGAGTTGGTGAGAGTGATAAGCCGTCTGATTGGCTGACATTGACGCGAGTACAGAGATAGTGTTTTTCTGTCCGTGTGTGTGTGTGTGACTTCAGGAATGTTTTTTCAGTGGTTTTCATAAACAAAGCCTGAAATAAATCAACATCATTTCTTTCAGCCTTACCTTCAAATTTCAACAATAATCTGTCATTACTGCATTTAACATTTAACGACGCCACCCCTCTGTATCATTAAAGCTCAGTTTAGATAAGCAAACAATAGCAAATTAAACTGAAAGGATTTCCAACCACCGTGTTATAGTGTGGGATCTTTTATTAGAGCTGCGTCCACAAGAACCAGCGTCAAATGGAGGCAGAATATCTGTAATCTGATGTTAACAATACAGAAAGAGTATGTTTTAGATTTCTTTGGTAAATGAAAATAATCATGTTTATATCAGAACATTCATACTGACAGGTGCAAAGACACAGGTGGTTTAACAGACCTTTTAGTAACAGGCTCAACTTGATATTATCTGGATGACATCATTGACCGCCTTGATATCACACAATAACAGTTTTACACCAGATCAGTCCTTACACTCAGAGACACTACTCTTTGTGTTGTGTTATCTTTTTTGTTTATTTTTTTTGTGCCGTAGGTGTGTCCCGTTTTTTCTTCCCACATGTTCCTGCACAATGTAGACAATTGTCCTCCAGAAAGTAGGGAATGCTGCCAGTGTGCCTAAAGGCAGCACAGACCCAAGAGTGTGGTGTGTCTGTCTGTGTGCGTGTGTCTGTCTGTGGATGTGTGAACATGTGGAAACATGTCTGCATCGCTAACAGTTAACTGACGATGTAGGTTGTCTTCCACTTATTAGAAAGGCTAAATAATATCCATATAATATCTATTATTATATCTTATATATAAGTAATATATATAAACATATTTTATATATTTGACAGGGTTTTTTTCTCAAATTTGTATTTTGTTTCTATCACTTCAAGTATTTAAAAAAATACTATTTTTCGTCAGACTTGTTTTCTTTTGTGTTTCACTTTCTTGCGATGAGATCACTCTTCAAGTAGAAACATGTAAAACGGTGAAAGGGCAGAAGAAGAATGCGTATTTAAACCTCGGTGTTCATGACAGGATTCTGTCGTTTCAGTGACTCATAGTTGCTGATTTCGGGGCAAAGTCCTGGACTGATATGATGCTGACATTTTATGACAGAGAGCTGCCAAAAGCAGAGACACAGTCAGCAGATCTTCTTTCAGCTGCTGCCTCCAGGTTTCAGCACAGCTGATTATCTCCCTCCATTTCATCTCATCCCTCGACTCCTCTGTTGTTTTTCTGTCTTACTACTATACATCCATGAATCTTGGAAAGCCTGGCAGCTCCATCTCCAACATCCTGTCTCTGTTTCATCCACTTCCTTGCATCAGCACACGTCTCAAACCATCTGAAAAATGTTTCTCTAACCTCTAACTTCACGACCTCAGCCCTAACAGCAGGTTGATCTTTCTTCATGGAAACCCTAACATTTTACACTCGCAGTTAACCTTCTCTTCTCTCCTATTACGGAGAACAGACGGCGGCCAAGACGTAAACAAGACGACGTCTACTTCAGGTACGCTGGTGAGTTCTCTGCACCGTAGATGTCTGACGTGGGGCTGAACAGCACGGCTGTCACGAAGCAAATAATCACTGTAATTAATTACCTTCAGTGTATTAGTGTAAGTGTGTATTGTTAGACATTTAGACAACACACACACACACACACGCTTGGATCCAAAACTCAGTTGTTTGTCAAACGCCCTGTGATTTCCATCTAATTGGGTCAGAACTTATTAAGGAGGCATCCATTTGAGTCTCTCACTTCCTGAATTCTGTAGTAATAATAAGACAAACAGTAACAGACACTCTTCCCACCACAGGAGCTGCAGCCACCTGAACGTCACAGCAAGAGTAATTCATTAAAAAAAAAAACTTTTATCGTTTTTAATGATGATTTTTTTCTTTAAGATTCTTAAAAATGTAAAAATCATTCACACTATAACATTGATCTGTACAGTTCACTACAGCGATCAACACCGTCACTTAATCAAGACATATTGTGAATTTATACTCCCTTCTATTTTTTTCCTCTTTATCTCAAACTGTCAAAATATTCAGTGTAAATTCTAATTGCAACAAAAATAGCAACGCATGTGTGTCCGTATGAAGCTATACATATACAGTACATATCCATACATATGCATACACAGCTGCTGAAGTATTTATAAAACATGTGTGTAGCTTTGTTACAGTCAGACAAACTGATCCACTTTGATTCAACCACCACTGCTACACCGCTAACCTCTGTGGGGACTATTGGAAATCTTTTCCTTTATCCCGGGAAGTGATAAATCATCATGTCATGTCGCATGAATTATTCCTCCCCCCGAATGATTCTAAAGTGTTGCTTTTACAATATCTAACCAGGTCAGAGGACAAGGTGCAGATAAATGTCTGCGGTCCAACCTGGAAACTCCAGACTGAATCTGAACCCTGTGGAGCTTTGTTTTATGTCTTTGCACATCTTAAACCCCGCCACAGTTCTTTCCACTGACCTTACCCACTTAATCCTGATGACCTGTACGCCACAATGCTATTGGTGCTTCACAGAAGAAGTCATTCATTACCTTGGGCCAAGCAAGATCAGCTGACCAGGAATCAGTTCCCAAATGTAGACCTGTGAATTTTTGTGCACTGAGGGACTCGAACTGTAGACCATGGTACACGTAGACATGACACAGCAGGTACTAGTTCTTTATTTGATCTCAATATTATATATCACAATTCTTTATGTCAGTTATAAATGATCCCCTCTAAAGATTTGGTAAAAAGTCCATCAGTACTACATGCCAAGGAAAACTGCAGTAGTCCTTCATGAAGGTTTGAGGTAGTTATAGAAGGCGCTGAGACCCCCCTGCAGAACCTCCTGAATAGGTTTGAGAAGGGGATTATGGACGATGTGAAGTCCTTTGTCCAGCGGGTGGCAGGCTAACCTCCCCAGCCGACTCAGCAGATACATCTCTACTGGGACGTTCTGTAAGTCGTTGAAGTCAACATTGAGGAGTTCTAGAGACTCCAGAAAACACAGTGTCTTGGGCAGGGTGTGGATGCTGTTTCCCTCCACGATGAGGATCTTCAGGTTCACCAGGTCCTGGATCTGCTCTGCTATTGTCTCCAGACGGTTGCAGGCCAAGTGGAGGAAGACCAAACTCCTCATACTGTAGACGCAGGCGGGGATGTGAGCGACGCTGTTGTGGCTGAGGTTGAGTTTGGTCAGATTGTCCAACGCTGCCATGCTCCCAGGGAGGCTGGTGATGTTGTTGTTGGCCAGACTGAGCACCTCCAGGTGGGCACAGTAGCCCAGCTCCTCCGGGACCTCGGTCAGCCGGTTGCGGCAGGCGAACAGCACGCGCAGCTTTTTGAGAAGCCCAATCTCAGGAGGCAGGTTGGTCAGATTGTTGCCACAGAGGTTGAGGATGACGAGATTTTCCAGGGAGGCCAGCGACGGGGGCAGAGAGCACAGAGAGTTCATGGACAAGTTTAGCTTCTGAAGCTCCCGCAGTTCCCACAGCTCCACCGGAGTCACATCAAGCCCCTGCATGGCCAGACTTAGGATGCTGTAACCAAAATGCACGGTGGTGTGTCGCCGGATCCGTTCAGTAGCCAAGGTTAAATCATCCCTG